AGGACATCGAAATGAGATGGTGAATGGAGGAAATAAGGAGTATCAATCACCCACAGTTGAGTAACCCTTCTAGTTATAACAGACTGATACTGGCCAGTTAGGTATGTTTTAATTGGATAGGTTATGAGTGATCCAACCACATCAAGTGACCACCAGGGAATATCTGGTAAGTGGTGGGATTATGTACAAATGTTTTTCCTTGATGGATGTATCCATGTGTATCCTACCCCCCCCCCCTTTCATTCAGTTAAACTAATATAATCTATACAGTCCACAATTAATTAATAGCGCCGTGTTTGAGGGTGCTACCCAATTTATACTGGTCTCGGATAGATGTGGACAAGATTGTGAGGGTCGAGGGGCCACCTGTAGTGACCAGAGGTGGTTAAGTTTTCTCACATGTCTACACGGGGTGACTACGGTAAACAATATGGTTGTCTCCCAATGAGATTACTTGTATGTATATAATGTTGAGGTACATACAGGTAAGCACCCTATAAAATTTTCCACAAATATAATCAATCAGCATCATTCTGTGCTTAAAAAAAATAATGAATTGAGGGACATCTCATCCACATTATTATACTCAAAAAGAAGTGTTAAACCCACTAGGGTCATACAGCACTACATCTCATTCACAAATGCTCAAAAAATTTAGCATTTTATCAACAGTAGCATGTTAATAGCAATTGTAGAAAAAGATACCTTAAAGCTTACCAATAACTTACAAGCACTATAATACAACTAAAGACAATATTTTTTTTTATTCTGTTGATTTTGTATATCAATACTACTAAAAGTTGCTTAACATTAAAAAATATTGGGACAGTTCTTGGATCCATTTTGTGCCTCAAATCTTTTGACTGCTGCCCACAGGGTAGGTATGGGGTACTGCCTGTAAACTGCCAAATATAGTATGTGAAATAAGACATGCATTGTTAGGATATTTTATTGAGGAAACATTTTGCTCTGAATGGCTTCTTTGGAAATTTTTTATTAATAAAAAAAAAATAACACATCAGCCGTCTCCCACCAAGGCAGGATGGCCCAAAAAAGAAAAACTTTCATCATTCACTCCATCACTGTCTTGCCAGAGGGGTGCTTTACACTACAGCTATAAAACTGCAATATTAACACCCCTCCTTCAGAGTGCCGGCACTGTGCTTCTCATCTCCAGGAATAAAGTCAGGCCTACCGGTTTCCCTGAATCCCTTCATAAATGCTACCTTGCCTACACTCCAACAGCACATAAAGCCATTTGTCTCCATTTGCTCCTATCTAACACACTCACTCATGCTTGCTGGAAGTCCAAGGCCCTTGCACACAAAACCTTAACCCCCTCTCTCCAACCTTTCCTAGGCCGACCCCTATGCCGCCTTATCTCCACTACATGATTTATACACTCTCAAAGTCATTCTATTTTTGTTTCACCCTCTATACATGTCCAAACCATCTCAATAACCCTTTCTCAGTCCTCTGGATAATAGTTTTGGTAATCCCACACCTCCTAATCTCTAAACTACGTAGTCTCTGCATTATATTCACAACACACATTGCTCTCAGACATGACATTTCCACTGCCTCCAGCCTTCTCCTTGTTACAACATTCACAACCCATGCCTCACACCCATAAAAGAGCATTGATATAACTATACTCTCACACATTCCCCTCTTTGCTTTCATGGATAAAGTTCTTTGTCTCTACAGACTCCTCAGTGCACCACTTGCCTTTTTGCCTCATCAATTCAACAATTCACCTCATCCTTCATTGACACATCCACTCCTAAATATCTGAATACATTCACCTCCTCCACACACTCTCCCTCCAATCTGATATCCAATCTTTTGTCACCTAATTTTTTTTTATCCTCATCACCTTACTCTTTCCCATATTCGCTTTTAATTTCCTTCTTTTACATACCCTACCAAACTCATCCACCAACCTCTGCAACTCTCTTCAGAATCTCCCAAAAGCTCAGTGTCATCAGCAAAGAGCAACTGTGACATCTCCCACTCTTTGTGTTAGATTCTTTATCTTTTAACCCCACACCTCTTGCCAACACCCGAACATTCACTCCTCTTACAATCCCATCTGTAAGTATATTGAACAACCACGGTGACATCACACATCCTTGTCTAAGGCCTACTTTTACTGGGAAATAATCTTTTCTCCTACATACTCTAACCTGAGCCTCACTATCCTCATATTATTATAATAAAAAAGAATCACTATCCTTGTAAAAACTTTTCACTGCTTTCAGTAACCTACCTCCTATTCCATACATTTGCAACATATGCCACATTGCCCCCCTGTCCACTCTGTCATATGCCTTTTCCAAATCCATAAATGCCACAAAAGCCTCTTTACCCTCATCTAAATACTGTTCACCTATGTTTCACTGTAAACACTTGGTCTACACACCCGCTACCCTTCCTAAAGCTGCCCTGTTCATCTGCTATCCTACTCTCCATCTTCCTCTAATTCTTTCAATAATAACTACCATACACCATACCAGGTATACTGAACAGACTTATTCCCCTATAATTTTTGCACTCTTTTGTCCCCTTTTCCTTTATACAATGGAACTATGCATGCTCTCTGCCAATCCCTAGGTACCTTACCCTCTTCCATACATTTATTAAATAAAAGCACCAACCACTACAAAACTATCCCCACCTGCTTTTACCATTTCTATCTTTATCCCATCAATCCAAGCTGCCTTACCACATTTCATTCTACTCAATGCCTCACAAACTTCCCCCCCCCCCCACTCACAACTGGCTCTTCCTCACTCCTACAAGATATTATTCCTCCTTGCCCTGTAACATCTTGTATGGGTGAGGAAGAGCCAGTTGCGAGTGTGGGGGAAAGTTCATGAAGCAGTGCATAGAATGAAAGGTGGTAAGGCAGCTGGGATTGATGGGATAAAGTTAGAAATGTTAAAAGCAAGTGGAGATATAGTTTTGGAAGTTATTAAGTGCTAAACCTGTCCTCAAATATCCTAACACTGCATGTTTTACTTCATTTAGGCATTATACTCAAATTAAAATTCTTCCTCTCTAAGCCATGCATGTCGTAAGAAGCAACTAACATGCCAGGAGTAAGGGGCTAGTAACCCCTTCTCCTGTATATAATACTGAAGTTAAAAATAGGAACTTAAGTTTTTCTTTTTGGGACACCCTGCCTCTGTGGGATATGGCCGGTTTATTGAAAGATAGAAAATGAATCGATATAAATGTTAAACCCAAAAGGGCCACACAGCACTGATCACAGTGAGGTAGAGTGACAAAAGCCGACAAGTGGAAATAAAGGCACTGGAAGCATAGTCACTGCCCTGTGGCCTGGTGACAAAAGCTTTTGCTTCACACGGTGAGGGTCAGTGGTTCGATTCCCAGAAAAGGGGTGGAAACATTGGATGTGTTTGATTGCACCAGTTGTCTATGTTCACCATCAATAAAATGGGTACCTGGGTGTTAGCAGACTGGTGTGGGTCACATCCTGGAACAAAACTGGCCTAATTTTCCAGAAATGTTCATCATAACACGCAGCTTTCTATATACTAGTATGTCACTGATGTCAGCTAGGCCTGTATACCTTGTACATGTACTTGTAGTAAATAAAGATATTAATGCTTCATGGCCTTGTATGTGACTTGGCCATCTCAGAGCCTGGCCTAATGGTGTTTATTTGCTTAATAAGACTGCATTTGTTCATTCTTTAATAGTTGATAAAGAATGAGACACTTGTGCAACATTTGGAAATGTTTACTGTGGTAACGTATTGCTAGCCAGTGACTTCCGTCCAGTATAGAGAAGAATGGTGGTAGAAGAGAAGTTTGAGGTAATCAGTCCCTCAGTCTGGAGTCAATGAGTTCAGTCCATCTTTAGAAAGTTACAGCATAGGCAGAGAAGTGGCTTATGTATTGCAGAAAGACGAGTTGACGCAGCAGGAGGCTGCTGTCACACACAGTAACATCTTGCAATCTTGATAGAGGGAATTCTTAAATGCCTGCCTAGCATATAGGCATGAGCTGCTTACACTAATGGATTTTTCCACTGGTGACTCAGCCTCCTGCTGCTTCAATTTGCCTGTATGTACTTCTCCCAAGACAAACATATGGACTCCAAGCTGAGGTACTGATTACCTCAAACTTCTCTTCCATCATCCTCTCTCTATTGGACTGAAGAAGCCACTGGCTGGCAAAACATTTCCTCAATAAAAGTTCCCAAATGTTGCACAAGTCTCTCATTCTTCAACTTGTCTGTTTCTAAACCATTTTCATCAATACTTGATAAATCCCATACAGGTGGGCCCATGTTAGTGCTTAGCTTTACAGCATTGCACTACCGCAGCAGTTTTCAGTTATAATCATTTTTCACCTTATTCAAACTTTGTATAACATATTCACCCATTCACTATAAGCTAAGGACAAAGATATTTCAAGTTAAGTAATGTGTGTACTGCATATGCACTTTCAGATCTGGCTATAATGCTCACTTACTGTATGATAGTATAAACATGTTATCAGGCTTATATATGTATTTGAAAGTGATAAGGCTATGCTTTGCTTTACAGCAGTAACCCAGAACCTAACCTGCTGTATAAGTAGGGCCCTTGGGTACTTGGGCAAAACATTCATAACTGAGAATCCTTTAAGTACCTTGTTTCCGTTTCCCCACATTTCTTAATTCTCGATACATCATTTTATATCGGTTCTTACCTAGTCTCTACATACATGTATTTCTGAAAGAAATCACAATTAATGCATGGTTACAAATGTATAAAAATGCCACAGTGAAAATAGAAAAAACACCTGAGCATTTTCGTGTGCTTATACACACACATCTTAAGTGGAATTAATGATATGCGGAAGCACATGAAAGCATCGACGCATTTTTCCTACTTCCACTTTGGTACTTTTACATATTTCTATGCAGAGCCTAGCAATGAACAGTCTTACAGCTTAAAATAATCAAAATTAATGAAATAAAAACTTAAAACCAGCCAAATGTTTATTGAGAACCACAGTAAAAACACTTAACATTAGTTAGTAAAATTTTAGGACATTATAAAAATCTTATAATAGAGGACTCTTCAAGACTTACCTAATAACACTATTAATTAATATTACATTTATTTAAATGCGATGAATGACCCCTTTTAACCAACTGGAAGAGTATAATGCTAATGATGTGAAAACAATTGTACAATACTGACAATAAAAATAGTGGTTACTTACAGTCATTATACATTTTCTATATTTGGTCATAATAACATTAAAAACCCATGAATTAAAATATCTAATATGGATTCTGGCCATTTTTCATTTCTCTGTATAAACTGTGTGGGGACAAGGTCAAATTGTACGTGTTAAAAATTCCAATAAAGTTAAGAGAATGCAGATTAAAGGCTCGAGTGAATAGTAAATAGATTAAAAAATATTTTTCACTGTATAATGAAGAACCCTCGATACACGAAATTCAGCTGGTACCTTTGCCAGGCCTGACTAACTGCGAATACTTCACTGGAATTTTAAACAGTACACTAACTCCTATTTAAATGCACAACAGAATCAATATTGGAAAATTGATTTCTAGTTCTACGCAGCACATACTCCATTGCTTCAGTCTTCAGGGTGATGCTATTGTGTTTTGAGCTTTGTATTAGAGCAGATCTAAAATGAAAAGAGAAAATGATGCAGTGAAAAATGTCGAAGCCAGAGAACTAAAATAGTTTTACCTTCAGCTAGCGCTGGGAACACTTAGCATGCAATTATGGCATATAACAAGACTTTTTAATCTAATAGTGGTAACTTCGGCAAGGAATTAAAGCACAAGGAAAATAAGAAAGAAATGTGCATGATGAGTTGTGATAGAAAAATAAGTTATAATAGCTAGGAAAACTGTAAATGTAATATACAGTTCATTTATTAAGAGAAAAGTAATCTTACAATAAACTTATAAGCAGGGAATAAAGAAAGAAAAAAAAAAAAAAAGGACAAGGATTTAAGAAACATGAATAATTTCATTAAAATCTCTAATGAATGAATACATTATTATTCACGGACATAACATTTTCAGTATTAAATAACTTGACATTTTATTTCAGAAACAAACATGCCTTGTAAGTTTAACTATTACATTTTAAATATATATATAGTATAATTTTCACTTAAATTTTCAACTAGAATCTCATTAAAACATTCATGCTTAAGCACATTCTACAAACTCTGATATTTGATAAACAACATCTGTTTGAAGCAATTTGTTCGGTAGTACGTATATCTCTTGGAGAAAAAAAATACAAGTCTTTCTAAATTTACAGACACTTGTGACTATTGGTTTAAAAGATATCTTTCATTTATTCTGAACAGATATTAAAAATAAGAATGAGTGGAGACAAATGGTTCATTGCTATTCAGTGGTGAAAAAGAAAACTGCGGAAAGAAACTTCACCGAGACGATTCACCTGTTGAACAGGTTTGTTCACAGGTGAAACGTTTCAAAGTTCCTCTGTGTATTTGTCTTTTTCACCAAGAAAAATATATAACTGGATACTAGTGTTGCAAATACAAATTAAAAGTCACAATATTGTGGCTGGAAGAATTTACAACTAACTCACATTGTCAAAGAAATTTTAGACCATCCTGAACCACTTTCTGATAATTTAATAATGATTCAGGAGGGACCAGAACTTTGTCGGACATTTCCTTTCCCGACTGCGAGTCTTTTGTGAATAACAAACATTAAGTAATTTCAAAATGAAATTAAGCAGTAGTAGTATGTTTCTGTGGCATATAAATCAATCTTGGTTGTTTACAAAGAAGGTTATCCATGAGCTGAAGAGATAAATATCTGTGTTCTGAAATGAAAAAAAGTTCTATGGGATGCGGGTGGGTCTGCAAGACAGGGGCTTGACCACACACTACCTCTCGTGATCTGTAACGCAAGAGGACGTTTATTTAGAAGCAAAATTTGCAAAAATGTTTGAGAAACACGCCACAAGGAGTCAAGTTGGGTTATAGCTCTTGGTGAATTTGGTTTTTCATGCCATGTCTCAAACTAATCTGAAAAAGTTGAGACAAGAAGCATACATGCTTCAAAAATAAAAATAACTTTAGGAATCATTCACTTTTAATGTTTTATGAAGAAAATTAGCAAAACAAAAAAATAAAATAAGTTGCATGAAGGATGTAGGTTAAAGACTACAGTTTTTTATGACATCAATGCAGTAACTCAAAATATATTAGTAATCTTTGCAAGCTTTATATCCCTCTTCTTTGAACATTGAAAAAACCTACATTATTCTTAGAATTTGTGCAATGTCAGTGAGCCTAGAATTAGCATATCTATAGCACTACAGAATGCTAATTCTCTCTATTCTAGTGATATTAAGGTAAATGCACAGAACAGTATATGACTAGCAACAATGATAATGAGTAACTGTCACAATGTGCTGCTTTATGTAAGGCCACTGTTTTCACTAGTACAATTCACAAGGCCCACTGCATTGTTTCATCATAAAAAGAATTTTGGTTTGTTCCCAACATATATCCCCACATGCAACCTGCGATAGTACAAGTTTAAAACACAAGTCCAGTGTTTGTGTCTGCTGGTTCTTTTAAAATTACTGAAGGCAGCTGAAGATGATCGTGGTGATTTAGTGGTGAGAATCTGTAGCACCGATGAACTGTTACAAGGAAGATTTATGGAAACAGGATCACGCCAGAAGAGAGAACACGCAAAATGAATAATTGTACAGAGTCAATGGGACTAATTACAGTACAACGCAACTGCACACTGTTGCCTGACCACTCATATTTGTGACTTATGGAGCAGTGAGCCTTCACTCGCGATTCCTGTGGAGACCTGCAAAGTAATTTATATGTTAACAGGATAAAAGAATTAGTCTATGCAGTTTGATGCAAGACAGCATAGCTGACCAAGATTATATAACATCCATATCTAAAGCTAGAGCAAGTATTCAACATTATCTATATTTGTGGATACCCAGTGGATTATCCAGTGTATTTTTCATATTTTATGGGTTTGTACAATCTTAGAGAGTGAGCTTTTCTGTCTTGCATTAAGCATACTACATACTAATTGTAAGAGCATATACAATAAGATACAAAATACAGCCTCTCCTTACTTAATGATGGAGTTCCGTTCCTAAGACAGCGTCAGTAAATGAATTCGTCACTAAGTGAGGAGCATACTATAATGGTAACGAGTTTGTCAACCATCTTTGATATTGTTTTAATATCACTTTTGCACCATTTATAAAATTTCCGGTATATTTTTAAATTATACTGTAGTGAACTGTATATTGTAATACATAAACAGAATAGAGGAAATCAGCTCTATTATACATTATTTAGGTATGCATACTGGTCAGAGAGCCCGTTGTAAGTTCGAGTCGTCGCTGAGTGAGGAGAGGCTGTACCTAAAATTACACAACAATAGTCTACAAATTATGTAATATATATTATACATTGTAGAATGTACTTGTAAATATATTAATCATAATAATCAGGACTTTACTTATATTTATTTATATTCTTGGAAAATGTGTCATTTTGAGAATCTCAGTTTTTCTTATATCAGCCATTTCTCACCACAATGGGGAGACCAGAAGAATGAAATATTCATCATTCATTCTCTGTCCTTCAAGAACACCCATCAAATTCCCTCAAACAGCAACATCCTCTCACATCAATAATAATTCTAAACTCATAAAAAATTTAATTTGTTGCCAAATAAAAAATTCACAAGGAAACTTTTTTAAAATTGTATTTTACAATTAAACCATGCAAAATACACATGCAAGTCTATACTGAATAAATGAATTGAATTTACATAATCCTGTTATCGGTGCTATTTTCTATAAAGGTCAAGTCTATTCTGTTCAATCGTTCATTTACTTGTTACAACTTTCTCAGGATTTCCATAAAATCAGCAAGATGGTTATATCCCAAGCACGGATGGAAACATTGGGCATGTTTCCTTGCACCTGCTACCCCTGTCCACCTAACAGTATGTACTTGGGTATCAGTCGACTGTTGTGGATTGCATCCCAGGTAGTTGTAGCATACCTTAGGCAGGGCTGGGCTCTGAAACGAGCTGATGTAGGATAACAGTTCTTAGCTTGTAAAATTTATTTGTATAAAAAATAAAAAGATCTTGCTTGAATAAACAGAGAATTAGATTTACCCAGTTCTAATACTGTATTTATGTTGCTGTAATCTTACTTCAAGATTTTTCCAGCATGTCCACAATAGAATTTGTTGCAATTTATATAAGGAATCTAGTAGAGACAGCCCTTGCAGGTAAGGAAAAATGAAGAGTAAATGAGTCACTGAACACAGCATATGCCCAAGGCAATCTTTCGTTTGGTTTCTACAAGTTATGGTCATCCTGAGCGAGTTGATGCCCTCATAATACTGGCACGACAGTAAAAAAAAAAAAAAAAAATCTTCCCACAGCTCGTCATCAGAGAGACTGTCCTGTATAATTATCAGCCAGGACAGGCACCTAATACCTTTGAAGAGTTTCGAGAGTTTATCTACTCTCTGAGCCCGGCCATGGACCAGCCAGGGTGCAGTCCATATGTTGGATAGCATGCGACCAACAGTAACATCCTGGGTGATCAGACCCTCATCAACTGCAAGGCCTGGTCATGAACTGGACCATGGGGGGCATTAACCCCCAAACCCTCCATGTATACACCAGGTACTTTATTTTTATCGTGTAAAAACAGAGAAAATACGTTAAAAAAAAATCCAAATTTGTTATCAATTATCTAACTTAAGTAGCTTTTTAGGTTGGTCCAATTCCATTGCTTTAATTTCATATTCTTTTTTGGCCATCATCCCAGTTTTGCTTTTGTTTGGCGATTTACCTGTGAATACCTCTTGTTTTATATGACATGTTTTAGTCTATCTATTTAGGGTTACAGTGGAATCTCATTTTTCTGCTGCTGTGTTTATCAGCCGATTTGTATTTAGGCCAGTTTTTTGGCAAAAATTTTGCTTTGTATTTTAGCGGTTGCCTCGTATATTGGCCGTATTAGATGCCTCAGCCCAGGACGCCGCACGTAGGTGAATCAGTCTCTTTTTGTCTGTTGGCGAGTGAGCAAATACTCTGCGCATTCATCCAAACATTTCTTTAAAAGCCATTGTTTTTGGTGGTTTTGTATTAAGTGCAACTGTGAAATAAGTCACCTTGGGATGTATGGAAAAAACAAATCAACAATCACTTTTATCTTGGCAAGGAAAGAACAAATCAAGGTAGTTGATGTGGCTTGTTTATTAAGTGTGACTGTGAAACAAGCCACCATGGGCAGGGAGTGTAGCAGGCATGCTGGGAGTGTAGCATGGAGGGAGTGTAGCAGGCAGGCAGGGAGTGTAACATGGGAGGGAGGGAGTGTAGTAGGCATGCAGGGAGGGAGTGTAACAGGGAAACAGGGAGTGTAGCAGGCAGGCAGGGAAGTAACCCCAGAGATGGCTTTGATACCTTAAGTCCTTATGGAGGGGGATTCCCCTTCCAAACAATAATCAGTCCTCCCTCTCTCCATAGGCCAACAAGAGTCTTTAATAAAGGTATGTAATAGTGATTTAAATGTTTATTTTTATTTAGTTCTCATTGTTTTGTGTATGTAAAACTATAATTAATCATTAAAAAATGTATTTTTTTGTGAATATTTTTGGGTGTCTGGTACGGATTATTTGTATTTACATTAATTCTTATAGAAAATATTGGTTTGAATTTAGGTCAACATTCTGGAACGGATTACGGCCGAGAAATGAGGTCCCACTATTTTTATTTTATTTATAATATTATGAGAAATTAAGATTACAGTGGAACTCCAGTTTTCGTCTTTAATCCATTCCAGAAGGTCGGACAAAAACCGATTTGTACGAAAACTGAAGTAATGTTTCCCATAAGAGATAATGTAAATCCAATTAATCTGTTCCAGACACCCAAAAATATTAACAAAAAATACATTTTATAGAGAATAACTATAGTTTTACATACAGAAAACAATGAGAAACAAATATAAATGACTAATGAAATGGATAAATGAACATTTAACATCACTTTTACCTTTACTGAAGACTTGTTGGAGTACGGAAGACAGCGAGGAGGGGAGAGGGAGGAGAAGTTATTGTTTGGAAGGGGGAATCACCCTCCATAAGGACTTCAGGTATCAAAGCCCTATCCAGGGTTACTTCCCTTGTCTTTTACTGGCACTAGGACCAGCTTAAGAGTCATTGTACCCCTGTTGCACAAAAAATGGGACACGGCATTGTCATTGAACATGTTGCTGATACAGCTTGCAACAGCTTTGTTAGGGTGATATTTCTCCACAAAACTTTGTATCTCACTCTACTTTGCACAAATGTCCTTAATTGCTGAAGGCGGCACATTTTCCCCTCTCTCTTCCTCCTCCTCTGAAGCCATTTCCTCTGCTAAGGTCTGTTGCTGTTCCAGATGAAGGTCTCGTTTCGGATGAACGCGTGGAGTAATGCTCACTAAAAGAGTAACAAAGACAGACCGAGTCACGAACGTATGAGTGGCCGCATCCCTCGGGCAGGCAGACATGTCTGATATGGACAATTTCCGAGTGGATGTATGAAAATTGGGGGAAAATTTCGCCAAAAAAGGTGGGCGAAAACTGAATTGTACAATAATCAGACCAGACAAAAACCGGGGTTCCACTGTACAGTGGACCCCCCGTTAGCGATGCTAATGGTATCCGATAAATCCGGTAACCGAAGCATTATATCGCCAAAAATTTGCCTCGGTTCCCATTACAAAACCCGGTAGGCGATGCGATTCGTACGAGACGTGTCCACGTGTGGCATGAACTGCCCTGTGTGTACCAGTGTTTACAAGCCAGCCAGTGTGCGCGCATCTAAGGATACATTCAGTACATTCCATATTATTCATATTATCACTGTTTTTGGTGCTTGTTTCTGCAAAATAAGTCACCATGGGCCCCAAGAAAGCTTCTAGTGCCAACCCTTCGAGACCAAGGGTGCTAATGACTATTGAAATGAAGAAAGAGATAATTGCAAAGTACGAAAGTGGAGTGCGTGTGTCGGAGCTGGTCAGGTTGTATAGTAAACCCCAATCAACCATCTCTACTATAGTGAGCAGGAAAACGGCAATCAAGGAAGCTGTTCTTGCAAAAGGTGCAACTGTGATTACGAAACAGCGACCGCAAGTGTTAGAAGATGTTGAGAGACTGTTATTGGTGTGGATAAATGAAAAACAGATAGCAGGAGATAACATCTCTCAAGCAATCATTTGTGAAAAGGCTAGGCAGTTGCATGACGATTTGGTAAAGAAATTGCCTGCAACTAGTGGTGATGCAAGTGAATTTAAGGCCAGCAAAGGTTGGTTTGAAAGATTTAAGAATCGCAGTGGCATACATAGTGTGATTAGGCATGGTGAGGCTGCCAGTTCAGACCACAAAGCGGCTGAAAAATATGTGCATGAATTCAAGGAGTACATAGAGGCTGAAGTGTTTAATTGTGACGAAACAGGCCTGTTTTGGGAGGGGAATTCCCCTTCTAAGCAATAGGCTCAACACTCTCCCCTCCTCCCATCCCATCAATCATCACCAGATCTTCATTAAAGGTAAGTGTCAATTATTCTATTGGTATTATTCTATTGTTATTGTAATTATTCTATTGCATTAAACTTAATATTTCATGTGGTAAGTTTTTTTTTTTTTTGTTCATACTTTTGGGTGTCTTGCACAGATTAATTTGATTTCCATTATTTCTTATGGGGAAAATTGATTCACTTTCCGATAATTTTGGTTTACGATGAGCTCTCAGGAATGGATTAATATCGCGAAACGGGGGTCTACTGTACTTGGGAACCCTGTATGATACCTCAGAAAATATACTAGCATTCTTCTCCACTACCATTCCTAGTCATATTACTCTAGTCTGTATTAGATAAATGATCCTGGCACCCCGCAATGTGCAAATGGGGGACCTAAGCTTCGTTATTGCTATAAAAGCAGCCTAATTACTAAATTTTTTTTTACCATTAAATATTAACACATCAGCCGTTTCCCACCAAGACAGGGTGGCCTGATAAAGAAAAACTTTCCTCATATACTCTATCACTGTCTTGCCAGAGGCGTCCTTACACTACAGTTATAAAACTGCAACATTAACATCCCTCCTTCATTTTAGATAGTTTTAAGGCTGCCAGAAATGATTTGTATAACAAGGGGTTTTCTATAAAGTGCAAGTATTTATTTATGTCAGTCGCCTTAACTGTATAACATACTATACTCTATAAAGTTTGTTTCTTTTGTTTACCTTCACAAGAAATTAAAATGACAGTATTTTGCAACTTCTGTTTGCCGGCTCTTAATTAACCTCAATACTGTTTTTCCAAGATTCCTTATTTGCCACAACCAAATCAAGTAGCTTGCTTTCACTACCTGGTTATTTCACAAACTATTTTTAAGAGGTCATGGGGAAGTGCAACAGAATTCTTCCTCCATAAGCCATGTGTATTATAACAGGAGACTACAATGCCAGGAGCAAGGGGGCTAGTAATCCCCTTCTCCCGAGTAAATTACTAAATTAAAAACTTTTGTTTTTCATTTTAGGTCACCCTGCCTTGGTGGGATATGGCCTGTTCATGGTTGGGGGGGAGGGATCTAAGTTAAGAATATGGGGTTTATACGAGGATAGTGAGCCTCTGGTTAGAGTAGGTGAGAGGGAGATTATTTCTCAGTAAAAGTAGGCCGTAGAAAGGGAAGTGTGATGTCACCATGGTTGATCAATATATTTATAGATGAAGTTGTAAGAGAAGTGAATGCTCGGGTGTTGGCAGGAGGTGTGGGGTTAGAAGATAAAGAATCTAACACAGAGTGGGAGTTGTCACAGTTGCTCTTTGCTGATGACACTGTGCTTTTGGGAGATTTGGAAGAGAAGTTGCAGAGTTTGGTTAATGAGTTTGGTAGGATATGTAAAAGAAGGTATTTAAAAGTGAATATAGGAAAGAGGATAACCAAAAAATTAGGTAACAGAAGACTGGATATCAGATTGGAGGGAAAAAGTATAGAGGACGTGAATGTATTCAGATATCTGGGAGTGGACGTGTCAGCAGATGGGTCTATGAAAGACGAGGCAAATCATAGAGTAGACGAGGGGAAAAAGGCGAGTGTTGCACTGAGGAGTCTGTGGAGACGAAGAACTTTATCCATGAAAGCAAAGAGAAATGTATAAGAGTATAGTTATACCAATGCTCTTGTATGGGTGTGAGGAATGGGTTGTCAATGTTGCAACAAGGAGAAGGCTGGAGGCAGTGGAGATGTCATATCTGTGAGCAATGTGTGGTGTAAATATAATCCAGAGAATCCGTAGTTTGGAGATTAGGAGGAGGTGTGGGATTACCAAAACTACTACCCAGAGGGCTGAGAAGGGGTTATTGAGAGGGTTTGAACATGTAGAGAGGGTGGAACAAAATAGAATGAATTTGAGAGTGTATAAATCTGTAGTGGAGGGAAGGCAGGGTAGGGGTCTGCCTAGGAAAGATTGGAGGGAGGGGGTAAAAGAGGTTTTGTGTGCAAGGGGCTTGAACTTCCAGCAAGTATGTGTGAGTATGTTAGGAGCAAATGGAGACAAATGGTTTTTAAAACTTTACTTGCTGTTGGAGTGTAAGCAAGGTAACATTTATGAAGGGATTCAGGGAAACCGGCAGGCCGGACTTGATTTTTGGAAATGGGAAGTGGTGCCGGCACTCTGAAGGAGGGGTATTAATGTTGCAGTTCTATAACTGTATTGTAAGCATGACTCTGGTAAGACAGTGATGAAGTGAATGATGATGAGAGTTCTTTTTTGGGGGGGCCACCCTGCCTTGGTGGGAAATGGCTGATGTGTTAATAAATAAATAAATAAAAATATGCATGAAATACCAACAAATACCTGATCCTGCATCAGCAGTTTCTATGATATAACAGCAAGAGGCTAAAATTAAAGTCAGTGTTTCACAGATTATGCTTATTAATGTCACTATTTTTTTTTCAGTCATAGTAAAGTATTGGAGAAAGTGGGAAGGTTGCATGTCAATCTAACAAGAGAATTGATACCACTTTCCTGAAAGTTTACAACAATTCCAGCAGCAAGAAGTTTAATACATGAAGCAATATGAAGGCAAGTGACAAAAATTGAATCAGTTGCTAATCTAAGGTAGTTTGACAAGTTCAAGATGCAGATTATTTTTAATATAACTGGCTAGGCTGAGAGTAGCAAAGCTAGTTTCTAACCCCCCCCCCTCCTCCCCACCCACCGAAACTTCAACTTTCGCCACCAAGTAACGATATGCAGAATGATGACCTATATTTGGAGAGATAATATTATTCAGTGTAAGCTAGTTTATTTAGGTACAGGTACACATAAGTACAATTATCATACATAGAGTAGAGTAAATTACCTAGGATAATCCAAAAGTCAAAGTGACTTATTTCCATTGGGGTCTTTATATTAGTATTATTACTCAATGCAGTACCTATGTTGCAAGCTGACAATGTGTACCCTACCTTTTGGAAGCACTCAAATATTTGGACAGTGAACAAAATACAAATAAAAAGCCACGTGAAACTAACCCATAAAATTAAAAATTTATAATGGACAATACTCTAGATCCATCCTGTATTATCATTAAACTGGCCAATAAGTTATCTAGGATAAACACAGCAAAAGAAGACCTTTTTACCAAAAAACCCACATTTAGGAGACTTATGATGATTCAGTCTATCCAGAACCATTACGTTACAAATGGTGCCAGAAAAGTAGAGGATTTGACAGACCAAAATGTTGTCCTAAATTTCCTTTCCTAATTGTCTGGTTTTTGATGTATTATTCTACCCATAATATTTCAATTTGCTATCCTTTATTAGAATGACAATTCACTTACATGAGGCTTTAACAAGTACACAATATTGCCTCACATAGGTGAAATATTGTACAGTAGGACGCTCGTATCTGTGGTCTGGTATCCTCCATTTACCGTGGCCCAGAAATAACCCTTAATTTTGCTTAATGATGGCCTCAGAGTGCAATAGTAGTGATGGTGAAAGTTCTTCAAAGCCTAAGAAAAGATGTGAAGTGGTCCCATCTGTGAAAGTGATAATTCTCCATTTATTGTGCAAAATTTATGAATTAAACTTTATAATAGGTATGTATAGGACATATAGTATAGGGTTTGCTACTATCCGTGATTTCAGCATCCGTGGCAGGTCCTTGGAACATATCCCCACGGATACGGGGGTCCCACTGTACTATTAAAATGTCTCCTCTTGCTGTACATGCCTTTTTACAACTTGTCACCTATACCATACTTCAACCCCAACAAGTTATTGTATTTAGTTTACACTTCTAATTTGGGTATGAGTAGCAATTTTTTTCAGCCATTGTATTGTGACTAGATAAAATATTGTGAACCTCACCATCAGGGATGATTTGGCGTGGAGCTCCATAGGGCGTCATGCCAGCCTGCGACGCTCCCTTGTTGCTTCCAGACTGAAGACCAATAATCTTCTGACCATCGACTGACAAATTCTTTTGGGCTTCTGTAATAAAAGTAAGTGTTTATTGTACTGAATAACGCCTCGTCTCACGATTATTAGACAAAAGATCAATCCTCCACCATTCCTAATTCTGTATGAACTAAAAATTTAGATGTTCAAAAAATATGTATATATATATATATATATATGTTTATTAACCTTAATTAAAATATATATTTATATTTTTCTACATGGGGAAGTGGAAAAGAATTCTTCCTCTATAAGCCACGCATATTGCAAGGGGCTAGTAACCCCTTCTCTTGTATATATTACTAAATGTAAAAGTAACTTTCGTTATTTCTTTTGGCCACCCTGCCTCGGTGGGATACTGCCAGTGTTGAAGAAGAAAGAACACTATAGGGATCTATACAAGAGCCTGTACCCATTTTACAAGAATAAATTCCCAAATGCTCTAAATAATACAGTATTGCTTCCAATACTTTTCACCTTTTTGTTCATCAGTGGATTGCATTAATATTCTTCTTAATTATACCTTGTACATGTACTTTTAGAAATAAAGATTATCATTATTATTAAAACAATCAGTCATTGATATTTTATTATTACTGTTTTATCACAAGCTTGTTTGGAAGATAGACTTATTTAAAGCTTTTAATAAGTACTGATTTAATTTTATTAATATCAGTTATCTGCCACTGAATCTTATATTTTTTCCTATCAAACAATTTGGGACCACTACATCATGTACCTGTGAGAAATTTCTAGAAATTTTCTACCACTGTAGTCCAAAGTGAGATCAAGCTTTTCAGAAAGCGAATAGCATAGTGACAAGATAGGATAAGATTTGTTTGGATTTTTAATCAAGAGGGTTAGCCACCCAGGAACACCAAAGGAAGTTGGTGCATCACTAGGGACTGTTATTTCCATTGGAGCCCTTCAGTCTCCACTGGAAATAATTTTGGACAGTCAACTAACACCAAGGTACCTATCTACTCCTAGGTGAACAGGGACAGCAGGTGTAAGGAAACATGCCCAATGTTTCCACCCTTGCCAGGATGGAACCACAGATGGTAACACGCTTACCTCTCACACTCAATGTGTGAGGCAAGTGTGTTACCAACCAAGCCATGGACACCTGACTAGATATGGAAGATGACACCCTGCCAGAAGTGGCATTAATAAATGTACTGAACTGTAAACAAGTGTTTTTTTCCAGGAATTTCTGTTGATTGCTTATTCACTTCGGTTTTTGCTGTTGACAGACCACTGGCCCATACAGCCTTGTTGATCTGGCACTGCAGAGATAGTGGTCCAGTTATCCTCTTGAGAACTTCTCTTTTTCTGGCATCTGCTGGTAGCAGGTTGAATAATCTTGGGCCATGGTTACTGACATGATCTTCTCTTATTGTGCCTTTCACTGTATATTTTATGCTTCCTTGTATACTTCTCACTCCAGCACAGTATCCTTCAAGTTTATAAGGCATGTACCAGAGCTCATATTCTTACTACTTTCCATGTGTTATTAGAGAAGTCATCACAAATTAACAACTCTATAGGGCAGGAGGCCATTAACTTTGATCAAAAGGAAAAGGTAGAAACAAATCAGTTCCATTTCCTTGGGTCAAGACCTCTTCATGAATGACGAAAGGCTCCCCCTCTATACAAGCAATTCCTTTTTTGCAAGTGCTCATTACATTAAAAATTTTAATTACAAAGATAAGAAAAGATACATGGACAGTGTGGAGAGAATGAGCGATTAAATTTAAGGAATGTGTGGAACTGTCACTCACAGAATAAATAGACAATACCATGATTGGAACGATGCGCGTTGTGTATGCGCACATAGTGGCCTAGTTAATGGTTCAAGTCGGACTGCAATGTCGTCGTAAGTTTCTTTCTCCTATGTTCAGGTTATTTGTATATTGTTCCAGTCACGGTATTGTGCCTTTTATTCTTCACTAGTTACCAGGGTATAAAAGGAAACTTTTACTAGTACAACATTTCACCTACATGAATCTTCATCAAGTGACAAAATGAGATGTACCACTAAAGTTCTCATTCTGCTGTGTGTGGGTTTTTTACCACCTGTCTGTGCCACCATATTTCAGCAATCAGTTATTGATAATTGAAGAATGGAGCAATCCTTTAGGAGATTAATGTAACTGCTAAACTGGTGTTATGTCTCTGATTCTACAGGTGGAGAACATGAAATATTTTTTTAAATTGGATATTTTTTTTTTCCAACGCATCGGCTGTATCCCACCGAGGGAGGGTGACCTATAAAGAAAAATTTTTTTTACATTTGGTAATTTATACAGGAGAAGGGGTTATTAGCACCTTGCTTCTGGCAATGTAGCCGTCTCTTGGAATACAGAGGATGAATTCTTTTTCACTTCCTCACCGAGTTTAAACTAAAATGTCAAGGATAATTTAACCATATTTTATGCGTTTCTTTTTCTAAATAAAACAATTGGAAGATATAATAAAGTTGCACATGTCAGTGTGTGTGCAGCCAGAAACATTTTTTTCTAGTTTAAGTACAAAAGAGAAATTTTATCATTAAAAATATAATTTAAGCAAGCAAAACATTTCATTATTTCTTATATGTTTAGATTAGTGTACAGTATGCACATGATGCACTAAGTATAAGCCCATGCCTTACATGAAAATGTTGGCATTAAACATGAATATAAGCTGCATAATAAGCTTTCATTAGAAGAGCATTTTACTCTGCTGAGCTTTATCAAGTGAGAGTTCACGAATTAAGCTCTACCCAGAATGAAACATTATCCCAATTAAAGCTAGTTCTACAACTTTGTATTCAAGCCCATGGCTTATTTAGGTCATCCTAAACATGGGCAAGGCTGTGTAAACACTCATTCGTCGAGTGACTGACCTTAACTGGAACGACCCAAGCACTGCACACATCAACCACACTACATACCAGTGAAGCACCTGTGACTTATTTCAAGGGTTCTGATACTCTACTCTCAAAACTCAGATTGAGACCAGATTTTACTGGTCAACCAGGCTGTTGCTGACAGTGGCCTGTAGGTTTACAAAGTCATCACAGCATGGCTGATCTGGCACTCTTTTTCAAGAATATGCTTAGTTTTCTCCAGACACCAGGTGCTGTATGACACCTAGGAGTCATACAGCACCTGAAACCATTGCTGTATGACAAAGGGATTATACAGCGCTTGGGAGAGTAGAAGGTATCCAGGATCAGTTCAAAGAGTGGAGCACATGTCCAATTCCTTAGATCAAAAGCCCCTCACTAGCATCAAGGAACCTTCCTTGAGTGATGGTAAGATAATTACCAATGTATCAGTGAAAATTCCATTTGTGAAGAGAATCTCTCTCTGCAAGTAAAAAAATAACCCTATACACTTCTGTGTACAGAACAATCTAGAGCTAAAACAACGTACACCAATACATTTGGAGCTATCAAGAAATAAATCCTGATAACAGTAACTGAATTTTTACAAACATTAATAATTATACAGAACACTTAATTTTAAGATCTAACTTCCCCACCTCCTATGGAGACTCAAACAATTAGGCAGTACAGCAAGTCATCTACTTACAAACATGCTGAGAATCTTCTCTGTTGTGTATATCATTACTGTGTATACTAGCATTATATCATAATTATACACATTACAGAAGGTCTCCAACGTGTTCATAAGTTGAAGACTTCCTGTATTATAAATGCTGGAGGTTGCCAATGTGTTTGTAAGTTGACTTTCTGTATTCCAGCTGGATAAAATGAACTAACCTCCGGGGATGATTTGCCGCCCAGTTCCGTATGCAGTCATTCCCGCCTGTGATGCTCCCTTATTGCTGCCATACTGTAGCCCAATGATCTTGTGAGACTCCTTTAGCTTCTCCTCAGAGAAGTTCCTCTTATTCTCCATAGCAACCTTCACGCCAATTACTGGCCCATCGAAACTCCTTTTTTGGGCCTGCAAAATGATAATTAAGTTAGGGTGGGAAAGACTAGGGTTATACAATGGACCCCCGGTTTACGATCAGCTCCCAATGTGACCAATTATGTAAGTGTATTTATGAAAGTGCGTTTGTACGTGTATGTTTGGGGGTCTGAAATGGACTAATCTAATTCACAATATTCCTTATGGGACCAAATTCATTTAGTAATGGCACCTGAACATACTTCTGGAATGAAATAATATCGTAAGCCGGGGGTCCACTGTATTCTAGGGTATTTCTTGTTAGTAACTCAACTGCAGAAACCAATGATAAAAAAAAAAATATGGAAGATCTACCTTCTTCTACTTCAAAAGAAAGTGTAAACTGATTTCAAAGTAAAGAAAATTCAAGCTGACTCAGATGTTGTCACTACAGGTTCCCAGGTAAAAATGAATATTTTCTTTGAATTCATACCAAACTATAATTGTAGAAAATTATAAATAAAGGAACATGATACTGATGATTTATTGGCAATAAACATGTCTTGATAAGATAAGATTTCGTTCGGATTTTTAACCCCGGAGGGTTAGCCACCCAGGATAACCCAAGAAAGTCAGTGCGTCATCGAGGACTAACTTAATTCCATTGGGGTCCTTAATCTTGTCCCCCAGGATGCGACCCACACCAGTCGACTAACACCCAGGTACCTATTTGCTGCTAGGTGAACAGGACAACAGGTATAAGGAAACGTGTCGAAATGCTTCCACCTGCCGGGAATCGAACCCGGGCCCTCCGTGTGTGAAGCGGGAGCTTTAGCCACCAGGCCAAGAGTAAAATGCTCTTCTAATGAAAGCTTATTATGCAGCTTATATTCATGTCTTGATTGAATTTTGCACAAAATTAAGCCTGCATAATAAATCATCTTCCCAATTTGAGCTCATCTCGAGTTTCAAATACCATATACAGGGGCACATCCCTTTATCCAAAACCCATGGGGGCTGTATTGTTTCAAATTTCAGACTTTTTCGAATTTCAGAATTATTCTCAACGCCGCCACGTGGCAGTGTGACCCAGCAAGGAGATGACTGATGCTCCGCACTCCACAAAAGAACTTCGGTTTTCAGAATATTTGAATTTCAGAACTTCAGATAAAGGGATGTGAACCTGTATAAGATATTACTTTTTGTGAACCACTGAGAACAAATTTAACAAAGTGATGGTTCATAAGTAGCGTGAAATTAAAAGATTATACTTTCGACTCAATAGTCCAAAATAAAACAGAAGTCATCATGAGTTTCCTCTCAATTGCAGATTATTTGTGAATTGTTCCAGCCATGGTATTATGACTTGAAAAATATTGGTTAACTTTTAATATAAAAGTTCCAAACCTGAAAAATGTTAACTATCAGAAAGCCTTGAGATAAGAAAATATGGAAGCCTCCAAATAATTTTTTTTTCCAGAGAACCGTAGTATATTTGGAAATGTAATACTGTACTGAATAATAATGAATTAATCACCTAATTTTTTCAGAGCATAACAGTATTCCAAAAAAAACTGCTATTTAATCTTCTCTCGAGCAAAACACTTGCTAAAATAATTTCTGCAATATCCTGCATTAAAGTAATAAGAAGAATCAACATATTAAGAATACTGAAAAAAGGGGGAAAAAAAATCTTATTTTCAACTGTTAAAAAACTGAAGTTATATATTGCATTATATTATCACAATTAGATAAGTACAAACCTTGTAACAAAAATGACTGTTAAAATTTAAAAAAAAATGAATCTTTTAGGTCCTTATAACATGTTAGACACAACAAATAAAATACTCACAAGTCCTCCCAGGGCATAGAGGCAGTCAACAACCTGGAAATAGATAAAGAGGTGAAAATTTAAATTTCTGTACAATATTCCCAAAATGATTATACAGTCAAACCTTGTTTTTTATATGCCCTAGTTTTTGTACAATTTGAGTTTCGATGACTTTTTTTTCGTCAAAATTTTGTCCCAGTTTTTGTACATCCGCTCGGTTTTCATACAGTTGAAAATGATCCATACCAAACTCTTGACTCTGCTACTCATTTCCCGGAATTGAGTGGCCACACAAAGCATCCCATGCGTTCATGATTCAATTTGCCTTTGTTTCTCTACACCAAAGCACTGTTTCAGAGGCGCTTTGAAGTGACTTCAGACACTTAATTGACAATAAGAGGGTTCTGAAGGAATCACTTCAATATCCTCAATTGCATAAGCCTTATAGACAAGGCTTGGCAGGGAGTGACTTCCAGGACGATGAATTCTGGTTGGAGAAAATTGTGGCCAGAATGTGTCCTCGAGAAGGATTTTGAGGGTTTGAGTCTGACCCTGACGACCCTATGCCTGTTGTGGAATCTATTGTGTCTTTGGGGAATTCCATGGGGTTGGATGTGAGTGGCCAGGATGTGAAAGAGTTAGTGGATGACAACAGGGAAGAGCTAACCACTGAAGAGTTGCAAGACCTTCAGCTGGAACAGCAACAGACTACAGCTGAGGAAATTGCTTCAGAGGAGGAGGAAGAGAGGGGAGAATGTGCCTTCTTCAGTGATTAAGGACATGTGTGCAAAGTGGAATGAGTTGCAAAGTTTTGTGGAGAAATATCACCCTAACAAAGCTGTTGCAAACTATGTCTGCAACATGTTCAATGACAATGCATAGTCCCATTATAGGCAAACCTTAAAGAGATGCCAGAAACAGACCTCTCTGGACAGATTTTTTGTGTGACGGATCCAGTGACTCCAGCTGGTAATAGTGCCAGTAAAAGACAAATTAGGGAAGTAACCCCAGAGAGGGCCTTGATACCTGAACTCCTTATGGGCAGGGATTCCCCTTTCAAACAATTACCTCTCCTCCCTCTCCCTTCCTCGCCATCTTCCATATGCCAACAAGAGTCTTCAGTAAAAGTGATGTTAAATATTCAGTTATCCATTTCATTAGTCGTTGATATTTATTTCTCATTGTTTTCTGTTATTCTCTCTAAAATGTATTTTTTGTTAATATTTTTGTGTGTTTGGAATGGATTAATTGGATTTACATATTTTCTTATGGGAAATATTGCTTTAGTTTTCATACGATTCGGCTTTTGTCAGACTTTTTTGAACTGATTAATCATGAAAACTGAGGTTCCACTGTATACCAATTACAAGTGCATCAATAAATGTTACATTAATTGGGCTTAGAAGTTTAAGACAAGCCCATATTATGCAGTATTTTGGATGACTTACGTAATTCACTAGTTTCCTATAAATCTTCATTATATGTATTGACAAGTGAAAAAAAGACTGAATCACTAAGGACAGTGGTTTCTCCACTGTCCGTTGGTCATGCATTTTTAAACTGTATTGCAATTCCACTAAGTATATTGAGGAGTTTTATAAGAGTTTAATGATCGCTTGCCTGAAATGCATTGCACTGTATACTAGTGACATCTGTGCCTACCAATGTTTAATTACACGTAAACTACATTACAGTGGACCCCCGGTTCGCGAAGTCATCGGTATCCGATAAATCCAGTATCCGAAGCATTATATCGCAAAAAATTTTCCTCGGTTCCCATTACAAAACGGGGTATGCAATACGATTTATACGAGACGTGTCCACGTGTGGCCTGAGCTGCCCCATGTGTGCCAGTGTTTACAAGCCAGCCAGTGTGCGCGCATCTAAGGATGCATTCGGTACATTCCATATTATCACTGTTTTTGGTGCTTGTTTCTGCAAAATACGTCACCATGGGCCCCAAGAAAGCTTCTAGTGCCAACCCATCGAGACCAAGGGTGCTAATGACTATTGAAATGAAGAAAGAGATAATTGCAAAGTATGAAAGTGGAGTGCGTGTGTCGGACCTGGCCAAGTTGTATAGTAAATCCCAATCAACCATCTTTACTATAGTGAGCAGGAAAACGGCAATCAAGGAAGCTGTTCTTGCAAAAGGTGCAACTGTGATTACAAAACAGCGATCGCAAGTGTTAGAAAATGTTGAGAGACTGTTATTGGTGTGGATAAATGAAAAACAGATAGCAGGAGATAGCATCTCTCAAGCAATCATTTGTTAAAAGGCTAGGCAGTTGCATGAGAATTTAATTAGAAAAATGCCTGCAACTAGTGGTGATATGAGTGAATTTGAGGCCAGCAAAGGTTGGTTTGAAAGATTTAGGAATCGTAGTGGCATACATAGTGTGATTAGGCATGGTGAGGCTGCCAGTTCAGACCAAAAGGCAGCTGAAAAATATGTGCATGAATTCAAGGAGTTGAATTCAAGATATGTTGTGCGACAGAAGTCCAGTGACTCAAGCTGGTCCTAGTGGCAGTAAAAGAAGAAGGGAAGTAACCCCAGAAAAGGACTTGCTACCTCAAGTCCTAATGGAGGGGGATTCCCCTTCTAAACATTAAAAACTCTGACACTCTCCCCTCCTCCCATCCCATCAATCATCACCAGATCTTCATTAAAGGTAAGTGTCAATTATTCTATTGTGATTATTCTATTGTTATTGTATGTAATATTCTATTGCATTAAACTTAATATTTCATGTGGTAAAAGTTCTTTTTTCATACTTTTGGGTGTCTTGCATGGATTAATTTAATTTCCATTATTTCTTATGGGGAAAACTGATTCGCTTTCCGATAATTTTGCTTTACGATGAGCTCTCAGGAACAGATTAATAACGTGAACCGGGGGGTCCACTGTATTTTTGTACCATATGGAAATAAACATCTGTAGGACCCCCGTATCTGTAGGGGATACATTTCAAGACCTACAACGGATACCCAAAGCCACAGAGTAGCGAACCCTACATACAAATTGTTTTTTACATATACATATACCTATGATAAAGCTTAATTGATAAATTATGCACAATAAGTTGAGAATTAGCACTTTTTCACTGATGGGAATCACCTTATGGATTCTCTTAGGCTTTGAAGAACTGTCATCATCACTGCTTATGCACTTTGGGACATTATTAAGGAAAATTAAATGTTAGTTTTGGGCCAGAGTGAACAGCAGATAACAAACCGCAGAAAATGGACCCATGGATATGGTGGTCCTACTGTATTTGCATTAATGTATAGTAATCCTGTAATAATTTCTTTCCGACCTAAAGGACCTAGTCTGAGACTAGGCCATGGGGAAGATATACCCCAGAACCAGCAGGTAATGGTATTAATTCTGCAGCATTAATACCCCTTTGAAGTAGCATAAGCAACAAACAGTCTGCCTTTTTGGCATTGGATCCTTAGGGCCTTCCATGATAAAACTCACAATAGTCGCCTGAAAAACGGGTATCTATTTGCAGCTAGGTGAACAGGGTCATTAGGCGTTAGAAGGCTTTCCCATGCATCCTCTCTCACCTTGATGACAATAGAATATTGTCATCAAGCAGTAAGGTACAGTAGAATCCTGTATCTATGGATTAGGTTTCCATGTTATCAGTTATTTGCAGTTTACCTCTGCCCAAAAATATTAAGCAGGTTGCAATTTGAGGTTTCATTTTTATTTTATGATCTGATTTCATTAACCTTGTTTTTACTGTTTGAATAAGAGCGCATAAAACATGGTCATATAAAGTTTTATTATGATCGGTCAACAAACAAATTGAAAATATATGCTGAAAATTGGATTGGCAGCAAACAGGCACATACAGGTGCTGCCAGAATATGTCGTCTACTCAGCAGCAGCAGTGGTGTGTATTTTATTATTAAATGTTGATGGTGTGTTATTGTGCATAATTTATCAGTTAAACTATCATTGGTATGTACATTTAGAAAAAGCAACTTGTATACAGGGTTTGCTACTATCCATGGTAGGTATTGCAACATAACCCGCGTGGACAGGGGGGTTACCACTGTACTCAAATTAGAAACACTAAAGATAAAAGCAGCCTTCTTGCCCCTTGGTGTATTCTACTCTAAATGCCAGGAACGACACTTGTCCAGCTGGAAACGCCAGGAACGACACTTGTCCAGGCTGGAAACGCCCGGAATGACACTCGTCCAGGCTGGAAACGCCCGGAATGACACTCGTCCAGGCTGGAAACGCCCGGAATGACACTCGTCCAGGCTGGAAACGCCCGGAATGACACTCGTCCAGGCTGGAAACGCCCGGAATGACACTCGTCCAGGCTGGAAACGCCCGGAATGACACTCGTCCAGGCTGGAAACGCCCGGAATGACACTCGTCCAGGCTGGGGAAACGCCCGGAATGACACTCGTCCAGGCTGGAAACGCCCGGAATGACACTCGTCCAGGCTGGAAACGCCCGGAATGACACTCGTCCAGGCTGGAAACGCCCGGAATGACACTCGTCCAGGCTGGAAACGCCCGGAATGACACTCGTCCAGGCTGGAAACGCCCGGAATGACACTCGTCCAGGCTGGAAACGCCCGGAATGACACTCGTCCAGGCTGGAAACGCCCGGAATGACACTCGTCCAGGCTGGAAACGCCCGGAATGACACTCGTCCAGGCTGGAAACGCCCGGAATGACACTCGTCCAGGCTGGAAACGCCCGGAAATGACACTCGTCCAGGCTGGAAACGCCCGGAATGACACTCGTCCAGGCTGGAAACGCCCGGAATGACACTCGTCCAGGCTGGAAACGCCCGGAATGACACTCGTCCAGGCTGGGAAACGCCCGGAATGACACTCGTCCAGGCTGGGGAAACGCCCGCGAAAATGACACTCGTCCAGGCTGGAAACGCCCGGAATGACACTCGTCCAGGCTGGAAACGCCCGGACGGAATGACACTCGTCCAGGCTGGAAACGCCCGGAATGACACTCGTCCAGGCTGGAAACGCCCGGAATGACACTCGTCCAGGCTGGAAACGCCCGGAATG